TTCCTTTGAGTTCCTCTGAGTTTCCCACTTCCCCGACTGCCAACACGTGTTTGCACCTTATTCATTTGCCACTTTGCCTGCGCTTCCGCCTTCATTGGTTTGAGCCACTTGGCCAGGCATTTTAGTTAAGTAATTGGAATGGCTTAGATTGGGCTTTACGGCCAGTTGCCACTCTTTGTAATCTGCCAAAGATGGTCCTCACATCCCCCTTCATCTGCAAAGCCTTTAGTCAGCTCATTACCCAAATGCTTGATGGATTCAAACAATATATTCGCCTTCGCATTGCATCTCAATTAGTGGCAACAAATGTAAATTGCATTTAAATGCGAAGCATACATAATTCTGAATTTCTTACTCGGCCGTCTGGCTATTTGCAAATTAATTTTTGGCATCCGCCTCTGTCGATGCCACTTTGAAAATTACCACAATCTGGGACTCGGAAAATTGCGATTCACAGTTGGCAATTGGAGATTTTCGTGGGCGGAAAGTGGGGAAAACTGAGCTTCGCTGTCATCAATTAACCCATTGCATTTTGCAACGAGTAAGTCATGAATCATTGCAGCCCTAGATCAAGATGACACTGCTGCTGTCATTATCTCTGCTCCAGCTACTTTTTGGCTACACTGAGCGAACAGGACAACAATACCCATTTTACATTGTCTTTAGAATTTTAAAAACTTACTTGAGAATTGCTAATCAATTTGTTTTCCTCAGTTTTTCAGGCCAAACTATTATATTTTTTTAGTGTTATTTTGTTGTAACTTGGTCAAAATAATACCCAGAGCTAAAGCACAGTCCAGATCCCGATCAATTTTCAAAAATTCAATTTTATTTGACGATTTTTGTATTTTTTATAAGGGGTTAGATAAGGTTTTTTAGCGGAAATCGATCAGAAATAAAAAATGTCACCTTTAAATGCTAATTGATTGGGAAAAACGATATTAACGAGGTATAACAATCCAGGTTTCGACCATTTTTTCCAGGATCTTAATATAAATAAACAAAATTAGTAGTGTTTTTTTGTGTATCTTCTAACTACCTTATTTTCTATACACAGACTTACTAATTTTTGAGGTATTATTTACTTTAAATACAATTTAGTTTTTTTATACCCGTTACTCGTAGAGTAAAAGGGTATATTGTATTCGTGCAAAAGTATGTAACAGCTAGAAGGAAGCGTTTCCGACCCTATAAAGTATATATATTCTTGATCAGGGTCACTAGCCGAGTCGATATAGCCATGTCCGTCTGTCCGTCTGTCCGTCTGTCTGTCTGTCTGTCCGTATGAACGCTGAGATCTCGGAAACTATAAAAGCTAGAAGATTGGAATTTTGCATCCAGATTCTAGGAGTTCCTACGCAGCGCAAGTTTGTTTCAAAATGGTGCCACGCCCCCTCTGACGCCCACAATCGCTTATATACGATTTTAAAAATTTACATATTTCGGAAAAGTAAAAATGCAGTTTTATTGTGTTTATCAATACCTATCGAAATGTAGAAGAAATTTTTCAAATCGGACCATTCGTTAAAAAGTTATGCGTGATCAAGTTTCTATCTCCATCTCCCTCGCACTCCCTTTACCTGAGTAACGGGTATCTGATAGTCGGGGCACCCGACTATAGCGTTCTCTCTTGTTTTTTTTTAAATCATGCTTAAGAAAATCGTCTATAAAATCTTTAAACACATATAAACTACTGTTCGATGATTTTTATAGATTTTGGCAAAACTGCTGATCAAGAATATAAATACTTTATTAGGTCGGAAATGTGAAGAAGACATTTCTGCGATACTGCATTACAAACTCCTGACCAGATTTATAATACCCTCTGCAGGGCTATTAAAAAGTGATATTTATGAGAACAAAACCCAATTTTCCACCGTGCAGTTGGACATATTCGCACAGTCCTTTGTATTCGTGTTATTTGGACCATTTGCAGTCATTGCTTTCGCGGCTCGCTTTTTTAATTGAGGATAAAAGCTGTTCGAGGCGGGGAAAAGTGGAAAAGGCGGCTGGAAAATGGGCGGAAAAACAAGAGTGTTGAGCCGCCTGTGTTTTGTGTAATTTTGGGGAAAAATCAAAGCCCAGCAATCTCATAATGCGTCGTCGCATTCATTCGTTTTCCGTTGTCCGGCCGGAAAAGCCATGTGCCCCCTTTTCTCTGGCCACTTGTCATAAATAAGCAGTGCAGCTTGCAGGGCCTTGTTTCCCACCCAATTTTCGCAGCCGCGTTTTCCCCCGATTTCGCCCGCGTTTTCCCCAATTTTCCATCCACAATCCCTTGCTCGCACTTCGAATCCCTGGGCTCTCGCATTGAACGAGCGAATTCAATTTAACGAGAAATTGCAACAATCAACGCTGCTCCTGTGTCCTCTGCCCTTACCCCCCTCCCTCCCCCTTCGGATTTTCCTGCCCCCTTCTGCCACACCCCCCGCCCCCTCCACACATTCTGCGGACAGTCATCGGGCGGGAAATAAAAAAATGGCCAAAAAACAACGCACACAATCACAAATGTTCAGACAATGGCAAGGATTTCGAGCAACAGGAGCCGCAACAACAACAAACCGAACGAGAGGGAGACAGCCTGAGGAAGTGGGAAAGGGAGGGCTATATGTGGCAGAGAAAGAGACGGGTAGTCGCGGCGGAGACGGACTGCAAGAGGCACAAAAAACACGGGGCCAGAAAAAGGCAGCGTATGCCAACAATGTAATTTTGACGCTTGATCTCGGCAGACACACATGCATCGCTACACAGAGAGAAAACACATCTTAAAGTCTTTTTTAGATTTAATTTTTAAATTCCCCTTTTTACTGGTCATATTCGTAAATACATTGTTTTACTGGTTAAATACATTTTATTACTGGTTGAAATCAGGACCATGAACTCTTTCATTAACACTTTGCAACTTATGGAAACATGCTTTTAACCTATTTTTATTTTAAATAATTCATAATCAAAAGTTAATAAGGTTCGTTTACTTGCGGTTGAGGTCACAGGAAAAGTCAACTACAAAATAATCTTGTCAAAAAAGACATCTGAAGGACATGCTGTTTTGTATATAGACAAAATCTTTAACTCATCCGGCTTAACAAAATATATATATAATGTATAAAATTAGTTTGTCTGGCAATGTAAATCTTAAGTAAAATAAATTTGCAAAAAAAATCTAATTTAATATATCTCATGATTTCCATTTTACAATGTTATCAATTAATAATCGCCGTGTAGGTTCATATGAATGGCAACTGCAAAATGGCAGATGGAAAACACGTTGGATTCTCAAAAAAGACGAGCATCAAAAAACTTCGCTAGATAATGGACACCCAGGAATTCGCTGGCCGCAACTCACAAAAAAATGTGGAATTCACAAAAATGGTGGGGTATCACACCCTTAAATACCCTTTAAAAGATTTGAGTGTAAGTTAGAATTTCAATATGAAATTAAAGCAATTCAGTTATATATCTCAAGGTTTTTGTAGTTTGTTAAGTATATTTTTGGTTCTACTATTCACTTTTGTGAAATATCTAGTTTGGAAACCTTCAGGATATTATAATATTTTCTATAAGTTCATAAAATATTGATGAAATTATTTAACAATTTTTTATATCACTAAAAATGTTACACAAATTTATATAAAAATAAAACAAGTTTTTAGTAAATTAAAATAAGATTATACTTAAATGAAAGAAGGGAACTTTAACCCTCAGATAGGGTATATCTTCCGATGAAGAGGAAGCATGCTTGACCACTTATGTGTGGGTCAGTGCATCTCTGTGTTGGTACCTGAGTATCTGTGTGTGTGTGTGTGTGTGTGTGTTGTTTGGAGGTTTTGCAGCGTTTTTTATTCCGTTTTTCACGCGTTTTTCGTGCGACTTTTGTGTGGTGCATTATTACTGCCGAAACGCCAGCAGTGTCCACACTTCCCCACCCACAAAGCCTCATAATATTTCATGGCGGTTGCAGATTGTTGACATTTTGGCTGCCCTGCACCTCCAGGCTGTATATTCCCCTTTCTTTTTTTTGTTGTATTCCAGAGCTGCTGTAGTTGTTTCGATTATGCGGCAAGCGGGGGAATGGAGGCGGTTCTTTTTAGAGGAGCGGGGATCTTCCACAAAGCAGCCACTGCAGCGGATGCAAACAAACGCAGCCAGAAGCGCCAGGAAAATGTTTGGGGGGGGGTTTTAAAGAGGGTTTTTAGGGTGGTTTCAGGGGTGGTTTCAGGGGGTTTCAGGGGGTTTCAGGGGGTTTCGGGGTGTTAACTGGGGGTTACGGGTTCCAGGGGTTGGCTGCATCCGCAGTCGCGTGCAAACAGGATAAAACGCGCATCTGTCGCAGTGTCCATCATCATCATCCCCATCATCTCCATCATCGCAGGAGCATCCTCATCATCAGGATGTTGCAACGGACATGTCCGTTGTTTTGATGTGAGTTTTGGCTTAGTGGGAAAGCGGGGGAGGGGGTATCGCAGGGATTACAACTAAAGGAAACCCAGATCAGAGAAACCTCTGAACGCTTTAGAGGAAGCCAGCCACTGCAATTCAATTATATTTAGAAACTATGCCAGCGGGGCATTCAATTAATAAATTAATAAATTTTTAGTTCGGAATTTACTTAGGTTTCTGTGATACAATTATCTGTGGAAATTTCAAATTTAAATAACCATATTTGTTAGCAAGAACTCGTGATTAACCTAAGAATAAGTTTGAAGTAAACTCGTTTGAAATATTTTAAGCATGAACAAAAAAGGAATCACGAATATCTTGAAATAAAAAAGCTTAAAAAATGAAAAGCTACGTAGAAGTTTATGACAATATATGATGGAATGATGATGGAATGCTTAATAAAAAGGCAAGTGATATAAAACTTAAACAATTGAAGATGTAATACAAATACTAGCCATAAATAAAGAAAAACCCAACTCAGTAGCCCCACAGAGATCCATCGTCACCGATCACTTCATTTTCGTTTCTTTCCGCACACATTCACATCTGGGATTCCAGGAGATCCACTTTTGCAACGCATCCTGGCCACAACCACATCTGGGTGTATCCCCCATGAACGCCGCCGTGTGTGTGGTGGTCACAGTGCCCACGGAGGCGGAGGAGCTGCGTCTGAACCCCAGGCCGCTGGACAGGAGGCACTGCTGCTCCAGCTGCGGTGGCCATCTGAAGGGGAAACGCCCGCAGGATCTGGGCAGCGGGACATGCGAACGCTGCTGGCGACTGGGCCAGATAGCTGGGTGCAACGAGGGCGAGGCACTGCGTCCACCGCCGTCCAGGAGCCAGGCGAGCAGGGCCCTGCAGCTGGCCAATCTCAAGGAGGACGCCAGTCTGGAGCAGCTGCTGCGGGCCATTGCCGAGGAGCTGCGTCTGGAGGACGTGTTCTGGTCGCAGGACGTCACCGGCCGGCAGCTGCAGGCTCGCTTCGATCTTCTGCAGGATGAGCGGTACGAGAGATTGCTCTGCACGCTGCAGGATTGGGGCGTGGGCGAGCGACGCGGCACCCATGTGTCCGCCGTCACCTGCCTGGAGACGCGCACGAAGCCCCAGGATCCCGGCCAGAACCAGGGCGACCTCATCGCCCCGGGCCAGGAGCAGGGTCAGGGGTGGCACAGCTTCATGGACTCGGTGCGGTGCAGGCTGAATGTCAACCAGGTGGTGCGACAGGTGCGACGCGATGCCACCCTGACCTTTGACTTCGTGGTCCTGCTGATGGCCGCCGCCCTGCTCTCGTGCGTGGGCCTCGTGGAGAACAGCTTCCTCTTCCTGTCCAGCTCCATGCTGATCTCGCCCCTGATGGGCCCCATCATCGCGGCCATCTTCGGCTCGGTCATCGGCGATCGGGAGCTGCGCTGGCTGGGCCTCAAGAACGAACTGCTGGGCATCGCCGTCTCCGTGGCCATTGGCTTCTTCTTCGGGGCCATTGTCTGTGGATTCGGGCACTTCTTCGCCATCTCCACGGGCCTCACCGAGGAGATAGTCTCGCGCTGCGACACCCACTCCCTGGCCATCGGGGTGTGCACCGCCTTGGCTTCGGGGGCGGCGGGGGCCATTGCGGTGCTGGGCGGCAACACGGGCTCGCTGGTGGGCGTGGCCATCTCGGCCTCCCTCCTGCCGCCCGCCGTGAATGCGGGTCTGCTGGGGGCCCTGGCCATCGGTTGCCACTTCCTGCCCGCCGACCACGAGCTGCTCACCAGTCTGGAGAAGCACAGGGCGTACTCGGCGCAGCTGTCGGTGGAACTGCTGGTCTGCGCGGCGGTCAGCATGGCCTTGACCCTGCTGAACATCGTGTGCGTGTGGGTGATGGGCGTGGTGGTGCTGCGGATCAAGGAGGTGGCCCCGGCGGTGCAGCGGCACCAGCAGTTCTGGCGCCACGATGTGCGCACCGCCCGCGAGGTGGCGCTGCTCGATCCGGACCTGCAGGATGCCATCGATCGGCTGGACGAGGGATCGCAGGTGGAGGCGGAGCGCACCTGGTCGCCGGGCATTGGAAGGCAGGCGGTCTCGCACACCGGGATCAGGGGCTCCGACGACGACGTGGGCGTGGGCGTGGCCAGTGCCAAGGAGCAGCCGGACAACTATCACACGGTGCACGGCTTCCAGGAGTTCTGCATCACGCTGCATCGCCTGAAGTCGGCGCCCAAGGGCCAAGTGCAGCCGCCCACGGTGATGGAGCTGTTCGCCCGCCAGGAGCCGAGTTCCGGCCAGACCCCGGACCTGGCCAACACCAACACCAACACCACCACCACCACCACGGCCAACACCGGGGGCAGTGGCTTCAGCAGCTGTCGCAGTCTGCCGGACATCAGCAGCCTGGCCAGACTCTGGCCCCACGGCTCCTCCAGTGCGCAGAGTGTGCAGAGTGTGTGCTCCAGTCCGGCCAGGAACAGAGCCATGATGCACCAGGCTGCCACGAGTGCTGGCCGGGATCGGGGCAGGCGGAGTGTACACTGGCGCGAGGAGCAACTGGAGCGGGAGCGCGACTTGAGGGGCGACATCCTGAGCAGCAGGGAGAGCAGTCCGCTGAGGAGGACCGGCCAGGTGCTGATACCGCTGCCCAGTTTGGGACCGGATCGACCCCTGCAGCTGCTGTCCTTCCACAGGCCAGAGGTCACGACCCCGCCGGGCGAGGAGCGGCAGGACGAGTTCCAGGCTTAGCACTGGAGTGTCCTCCAGCCACCCACTGATAGCCACCCACTCTGCCCACTCGGCCCACTCCGCCCACCACCATCAACCGCCAAACTCCATCAAGAGCAGCGCAAACATCCAGGATGGCAGCCTCGAGCTTCGTGTCCAGCTTTGATTACTCGCCGATCCTGCGGCGATGTCCTTGTTTGCCAACCACTCAAAGCCGCCAGCACCGGCGGTCGCAAAACGGGGAAAAAAGTGTAACTATATATTAAAACTAGAAAAAAGTCAAGTAAGAATATATGTAAGCCTTAAAGGCAAGCGGGAACTACTTTCCGCTAACGAGGTTGATTAGCTTAGTATACAATTTAGATGAAGTTATTATGTATTTGTAAATTATATTGAAAATAGTATTCCCAGCATACCGGTGTTTTTTTTTAGATTTTTGTTGGTCAATATATGCTTATACCTCCGGTTTTTAGTCCACAACAATTTATTCGAATTTTATAACTTAACACACGTTAACCAAGTTCGAATCATTTTGTTCACAAGGTGCATTTAAAATGTAAGATTGCGTATACTTTTGAATAATTTTTGTACAATGTTGATAAGCTTAATAAAATTATTTTCATAGCTAAATGATAAGTAAAATTGCTTAGCCTAAGGAGACACCTCAAAGAATAATTTCTTTTGCTTAAATATATAATAAATATAAATAAATATCTGACTTAAGTCGTAACTTAATTAGTTAGTGCATCGCTAACCCTGTCGCCACAGCTCACAATTCCCAAAGCCAACAGGGTCCCCGTTAAGGACCCTGCAGAAAATCACCCGCAGGACAGCCAACTTTCCACACTCCGCATCCTTGTGAACAGCTCGTCCTCGGGCCAAGTTCGATTCTCCTGTCCGCAGGTCGGGCATTTTCACAACCTTTAACTTGGCCAAGTGGAGCTGGCGAATGGAGAATGTCCCGCTTAATTCACTTACCACTGAGCAGATTGCTGGCCATCGGGGTCCTGGCTCTTGTTTTTATTTTCCCCGGTCCACTGCCAACTGAAGCCAACCAAGTCGATGGACATCGAACTCGGTTTTTGCCATTCTGCTTACTTTTTTTGCGTTCACTCATTTGGTAAATTTATAAACAGATTGTCGTACAGGAAAATCCATTCTTTAAATTAAGGGATTTTTGAATTCTTTAATTGTATTTGTAGTATGATCAATCGATTCCATCTAATGAAGATCATATAACTAAGCCAGAGAATATAGTATTTGTTTTTATGTTTGGAACTGATTCAAAAACAGATCAAAAAATATTAGCAAAAGACTAACATTGATTTTATGTATCCAAAAGTACCTTGATTACTGCTTATATATATGAAATTATTAGTTCGTTAATTTTGTAATTCTTTGTTCTGGTTTTTTAAATTCAGAATTCAGTTTATGGAGTGTGAATTTCTCCCGATTGAAGCCATCACTTGAAGGCCTATTTTCATGTTGATTTTGCTTTCTACTCCCTAGTTTTCCTTTGGCATACGGACATTGCCTTAGATTGATTGTTTTATCGTTCGTTTCCTTTTGTTGGCCCTTTCGAGTGCTATTATCCTGGCCGTGTATCCTTTTTAGCTGCATCCAACTCGTTCGAACGCCCATTAGATGGCAACAACAATTACGTGTTGCGCTTTTATTGTGGCCAGCTCGTTTGTTTTAGCATTACCACCCCCTCCTCCGGTATGCATCCTTTGGCCAGGATAAAACGGACCCCGGACAAGTGCGAAAAAAGGATACGAGCCACGTGTGATTGCCCTTTGATGTGCCAGTGCCGTTGTTGTATTTTCTCTAATGTTTATTTGCCATTTCAGCGCCTGTTGTGTGCCATTCCCGCCATCCTTGATCCTTTTCCGCTGGCCATTCCACGGGGCTCGCTTCCTGCCCGCCAGTTTGCCGATTGTCCTGTTTGGCCAGGACAGGTGCGACATTTGGCATGTCCACGCAATTAGCGCCCTTGTCCATTCTCCATTTTCCGTTTCCCATTTTCCATTTTCCATGCCTCACATCCACACCCGCACCCACTCGTCCTTGCGGCCCTCGATTAACTCGTTTTCACCGACCAGGCCGCTAACGAGCCCACATTTGTCCAGCCATCGAGGAGCGGACGAGGTCAAAACAAACCAAAAGTGCACTTAAAAAAAACTCAGAAACACAAATTATGATTTTGTTTGTTAAGAAATCAGCTTTGCTTTGCTGGAATCTTAAAAATAAAATAAATCAAGAAACCAGTTAAGTATTTTAATCATCTTTTTGAAATATTCGCAAAATACTCTTTTTCAAAAAAAAACTAAAAGTGAATTTACGAAATTCCGTTTTTAACGCCCATTTGGTAACAGATGAATAAGAACAAATGGAACGAATATCAATTTTATGTCATATTTTGTAATAGCTTAGACATTTTTCTTAGTGTATATGTTCGGATGTCAAGTGGCCGTTCAAGTGCATGTTCCCCGTATAATTTTATGATGGATGTGGGCACTCACAGGTGATCCACTTTAATGGATGTGTGAGCAGGTTTATGAGGATAAGGTCGAGGTCGTTGTTTAAGCCCTTTCCCTTAAGAAAACAAATATTCCTATTAGCAGGACAGCTAATTGTTATACGGTGTTTTGGTGTACACAATTTCTAGGGCAAGAAAAAGGTTTCTTAATTTCCTATGATTTTTTTAAGAAATGTTTGCCATTAAATGTTTAAATGTTTACCATTAATATTTTATTATTTATTATTATTTATTTAAGGAAAAATAAAAGTGAAAGCTGCTCTAAGATGTGGATTTGCCAATGCCCAATTGATTATTTTGCTATTCTGCTCAACTTCGTTAGAGTAATCCCCTCATTGGACCTCCTTTTCTCTGTTGCATTGTCGAGATTTTGTCAGCGCTTTGGCATTCTGTGTCCGGCTCATTATTTAGCATAATTATTTATAGTTTTATTTATCACTCTTGACAAGTTTTTACGGTCGCTTCCGTCGCCACCCGAACAAAAGGGGCAGAAGCCCAACAGCCAGCAAAACTTTCCCAGGCCAGAAAAAATAAAGAAAGTGTGCGGAGGAGCGGGGGAACTCGGGGTGGAGTGGGGAATCCCAGGGAGCAGGGCAAGGCAAAACATTTAATATTAAATGGGGCAGGAGCAGGGCGAAACTTTGATCCTTTTGTGTACTGGGCTCTGCTGTGCTGCGCTGCCCCACCGGAATCAGAAGGCGAGTCTATTTTACACTCGAAGAAATTTGTTTCAGCCTTCAAACAATTGGGACATTTCTCTACAATACGCCGATGGAGCTCAAAAATATATTATAATGTCTTAAGCTATACTTATTTTTCAGTATTTTAAAATGTAGCTGTGATTTTTCTAATTTCTAATGTATGATTGTTTAATTTGCTATCCTACATTACTACATTTATTGTCATTTATTTGACCTGTTTATGGCATTATTTTTATAATTATATTTCTGAATTCTTAAAGTATATATGGTACTAGATTTGTAATTATTTTGCTGAATTTTAAAAGTTAGTTATGCTTTTTTTTAAATCTCTAATGCATGATTTTTTAATTTGCTATCCTACTTTTATGCATTTATTGTTATTTATTTGTAGTGTTTATTGCATTATTTTTATAATTGTATTTCTGAATTATAAAGTTTATATCATACTATATTTATAATTATTTTGCTGTATTTTAAAAGTTACTCAGAGCACATTATAATTAATATTTGATGTGTTTTTGCATCAGCTTTGAGTGGTCATCATTTGAGGGGTCTCTTTTTCCGAGTGTACTTATTCCGCTTGCCTTGTGGCAGTCTTAGTGCCTTAAATAGTTGCACCTTTGGCCACTCCAAGCCAGAAGAAAGCCAGCGAAGTGGGCAAGTGGGAAAGACTGGAGTGCAGTCGAGTAGAGTGGCTGCCAGTGGAGTGGACTGGATTGTTGTGCTGTTTTCTGGTTATATTTCTCCATTCTTCTTTTTTTCGTATTTTTTTTTTTTGTATTTTTCGGACACTGCTGGCGGATTACGGAGCACATGCTTAGTGCCTATTATTTATGGACCCTTGAAACTGCAGCAGCTGCAGTGGCTGCCACAAGAAGAGAAGCCATCGCCCAGCATGGTCAATTGATTCCTGTGTCGTTCATCCTGCATCCTGCATCCTGAATCCTGAATCCTGCACCCTGCGTTTTGCGTCCCGTGTCCTTTATCCTGCTGAAAACAGATCCCTCCCCATGGCAACAATAACAGAAGTGCCGGATTACGACGTATTTGGTGCGGCAATCAGGTGTTGTGGAGCTTCGTCTTAAATGAGTTAATTTGAGCAGCAATAGTCCGCTTTATGCCGCACTAACTGCCTTTTCTTGGTCGCTCTGTTCCTAACTTCATTCGGAAGTTTACTCATTGTTGAGTCTTAATCTGCTGAACAAATGTAATACGACATTGATATTGTTAAATTGCCATTATGATTGTTCAAGCGAGTAAATTTCAATTATTGTTTGAAATGAGACAATGGCACTTTAACGAACTTATAATTGTATTTACTTAATATATCTATTAAAAGTTGGTTATGCAGAATATTCGTTTTATGTGTTAAATCTTTTATAATTTTACAGACACTAAAATTATTTCACTCAGGCGGAAGGAATTGAATGGTTCGTTTTACCCTCTCACTTATTTTGATAGTTTTGTTTTACTTTAAACATAATTGATCAAACATAAACAGATAATAGTCCAAAAATAAGAAACTTCTTAAAAGTTATTACTATAATTTTGGCACACGAAATAAGTTTTCCCCAGATTTAACCAGGATATCATACTAATGTTGAATATTTCAATTAAATAATTTTTGAAATTTCATAACGCCGCATTCCGAAATTCTTTAAATGGAAATGGTGCAGTCGAAAAGTGTTAATTACGACTGCAAAGGACTCCGAAATTGCACTCCTTCCCCTGGCCTTTTTCATATATCCTGAACTCCTTGACTCAGCTTCTGGTCGAATCCATTTTTTTGTGAACCGGCAACTCGGGGGCGAACTTCGCTTTGGCAACAAATTGCACTGGCTTTGTCTTGGGGATGCGTTTTAATCTGGCCATTGTTCCTCGTCCCCAGGACCTCTCCTCCTCTTTTTGCGCTTTCCTTTTCCTGCCACTCCGCCTTGTAAATTATGTGTTTTAATATTTTACAAAGACTCAAAAACTGAGCACTTTGTTTATAATCTTATGCCCGTTTTTGCAGCTCTCCACTCGCTTCTTTCTTGGGTTTTAATAAGCCCCCCCCCCAAATAGGGGCGTTGTGGGAGGGGGCGTGGCCAACAGAGGCAGTAAATATAAATAACTACAAAAGACAAAGATCCGAAGGGCGA